CTTTTTTCTGAGACCGTCTAATGGAAATGTTGGTGGTCATTATACAAAGGTTAAAGTGTGAATAGGTCTACAATAGGGTGGTCGCTGGTCGCGTTGGACAGGTGGTCGCTATATCCAGTGTCTTTAACGTGTAAATTGCGAAGGGACTGTACTAAGGTGGTCGCTATGAGCAGGTGGCCGCTCTGCACAGGTGGTCGTTAACACAGGTTTGACTGTACTTCTACACCAGGTAACACCAATTAAAACCAACATCGATTTAGAATTACTGTGGCCAATGACATTGAAATTTGCTCTTCCATAAAGCAGCAGTTTCCCTCTTCTAATAATCAAAACTATCCTGGATACCCTGGGGAAGTATGTCCATTGTTTCACAACAACGACTGTCCCAAGAGATTTTCGTCTTCTCAATTTCTCAAGATAAACGTCCCAGGATTGTTTTGTTTACTAGAAGGAAATGTCATTTGACAGCATTAATTTCCATTGCACAAAAAAGCAGCAAATAATGTTACTGAAGCACATGACTTTTTTCCCCAGCCATTCACGCAAACTGCAAATCAAGACTTTTACCGCATCCATAGTTGTTGACATCCGATGGATGATGATGGATGTATTGTGACGTATTTTGATCCCTGGATTCTGACCTTGCATTCTTGCCACATTTACTGCCCTTTCATACCCGTTCAATTTCCTTTCATTATTTCATCCAGATTCCATGATATTTTATATTTAAAACCAACCTTTATTTCACAGTCATTCTAGTTTTCACTTTTCTAAAATTATCTTACTGATCAAAAAACTTTTCACTCCCATCATGCAATCTCCCATAGTACTTCCGCAGACACAGCAGCGATCGCCAACATATCTACAAATAACCTCGCTCTCAGGAGCTGAGGAATAAATGTCTTGGTAAGATTTAAAATAGAGGATGTGTCACTTTGGCATGTTTGAAATTCTACACTGAAAGCAAAGTGGAAAAGCAGATAATTTGTTAGAATCAGTTCACACATGTATGCAACAATGTATATTTGCGTGAAATAACAACAAATTTGAATAAGCTTTGAAAAGTTGAACTTGCGTGTGTTTGCAAAAAACAAGAGTATGTCAACCTTTCTTCCAGATGGAAGCTGCCTATGCTTGCGGTTTTTCTAATTTTAATTTTAAATAGTACAATGAGGAAATAACTTTTAGATATGTAATGTACAGTCCCTAGTCCTGAAAACCACAATGACAGGTGTATTTATATACTGACACTTGTGGACCAGATTGAAATGTAGTCACATGACTACAGCATCGTGTCAAGATCACATGATGACAAGTTTGAACAATCACGACCAGAAAAAAAAAAATTGTGTCGCGTAAAAATGATGTAATCACATGATTACCATCACAACACAAATAAATAAAGATTATTTTATGACACAGCTTTCAGTGACATATCAAAGGTGTACCTGCCAATGTAAATAAACATTGCCCCCAATATGACCCCACTAAGGGTCAAAGGTGAAAACAAGATAACATATATTACCTTGGGGGGTGGGGTGTCAAACTTCTTAAGGTCTGACCATTAGAAACTAGATATTGTAGAAAAACTAAGTAATTTAATTTTATATATGTTTATCAACATGGACTATGGATTGAATATTACATGTATAGCGGTGTTAGATAATGTAGGTCAGGTAATCAAATGTTGAGGTAATCGCAAGTCAAGCGAACCGAATGTTGAGGTAATCGCAAGTCAAGCGAACCAAATATCAAGACATTTGGACGTGAAAATAACCAAATCTTATAACAATTGAATGTCAAGATAATGTCTAAATAACTACACAATTGTAACATTATGAAACAATGACAAAATAATATTGTAATAATTGCACAATAATGAAATAATTAAGAAATAAAGTTGGAATAATGAAACAATGGCAATACAATGCTGCAGTAATAACACACTTATGGAATAAGCACAAAATAATGTTTAAATAAAGACCAAATAACCGAATAATGACCAAATAATAACCAAACAAGTTTCCAAATAAAGATCCAACAACTAAACAATGTTCAAATAATGACACCAAGCTAATTTTGGCGGTATTTCTCACCCCATAGAATACTAGTAGCTAACATATCGTAGACTGACTTGTATATCATGTGCAACGAAGCATCCATCACAATATGCAAATTTTGCACTAAAAAAATGTCCCTTGTACTACCATAATGGTCCTTCACGTTAACAGACAATGCCACACCCACTCACATCAAAATTCACTTTCAATATAAACCCCTTTGCTCAAAAGGTAAAAAAAAAAAAAAAAAAAATTATGCCAACTTGTTGATAGAAGTAAATATAATAAGCTCCACTCATTGTCTCAAAAAAAAGTGATAAAGTTTGCATATGCTGGGTTTCAAATTGAAATTTAAAAAGAAACAATGTTCCAACTATTTTCAATAGCTTTGTGTGCACTGTGAACAAATTCTTAACCCTCCTACCCTATTTTGAATAGAATAGTCCAGAGAAATTCAAACAAAAACTGTTGGTATATACCAATGTTAAGACAAGCAGCCTATCGGCTGAGATAGCTCCACTGTTAGCAATGCACATTTCAATTAAAGAACTGAAGACATCATTAGAAAATGAACAATATGAATAGTATCAAAGCAATCGGACTTACAGTTTTTAACAAGAAGTCAAAAATATCACTTTTTACCAAAAATTA